TTTTTTTTCAAGAAGTGGGGGGAAATGAATTGTGTTTGTGTGAGGTGAAAATTGAAATTGGGGGAAAGAAGTTAAATTTGAGTTAAGGGATATTTTAGTAATAGCACATGTTAAAATGGCTAAAAAAGATGTTTTTTATAAAACATGGCCAAAATTTGTGTTTTGTAAATTTTTATGGCCATTTAATGGTATTAACACTTTTGAATTAATATATATAAGTAGGGATGTCATTTTTATTTTTTTTCGAACAAATAATATTATTTGTTTATTCAAATTTATTGGGCAGCAACTACATTAATTGAAAACCTACCACAGATTTTATATGCATTTTCCTCCACTAAAATCATAGAATCATCAAAAAAAGCATAGGCTCATCAAATTTCAGAAGCTGCTTTATTTGGGTCAGCACTGTATTGGTCAACTGTCTACATCTCATCCTTACATGCACACAATATTGTGGAGTTAGTACATTTTTAACTAGACCATTATCTTTGCCTTTAAGATACCAGAATCTCAAATGGGGATTTATTTATTAATATAATTAAATATTTAGTTATATATATTTATATATATATTAATTTCAAATTAGTTTAATTTTCAATAACACTTGTTTGATATTGATGTACACAAATCAATCTAGAATTATGTTAATTTTGGGTCAGCAATGCATGTGCTCAATAGTCATGTGATTGAATCCAACTGCTGAGCTTGAGCATTTCGAGCTCGATTCAATTATGCTCGATCAATGTTCGTATTCGTTCACTTATTTATCGACTAGAACTTTATGTTCGAATATTTTTCTTTACTTTGTTAGTCAAAGTACGGGTTTGATGGTATTCAAATAATTCAGTGAACAAGCTTGTTCGACCACAACTTGAAATCGTTCGAAACATTATTTTATTTAAAAAATATCTTCTAAAGAATATGTTATACTTTATGTATACATATATATTGTAATAGTGTTCTCAAAAGCCTAATTTATTGTTCTTTGTTTCAGTCCGACATGTTAAAAAAAAAA